CGAGGAAAGCGTGCCGTGCCCCAGCGGGACTCCCACCGACACCTCTTGGCCTTGGGGCCTGAACCTTTGCCCGCACCCACTGCTACTGCTGCTTCCCGGGGAGAGGCGGGGAGCCGGGGAACGCCTGGGTCACCCTGCTCCGCTCCGTGGACACTCGGACCCAAAGAGAAATGGTGCTTTTTTTTGTTTTTTTCCACGGAGGGAGGTTTGTGAGCCCTTTCCTCTCCGGGGGTGGCCGGAGGGGAATGGATGCTGTGCCGTGCAGCGCGGTGGCTTGGAGGCGCGTGGCTCCCGACCTCACGCCTGGGTTCGTTGGAAGAGGTGCGGGGTTTTCTGCCACATACCATCCTCTCGCCTCGTTTGGGGACACTTATGTCCCCGTCACCCTGGCAGTCCCAGTGCGGGCCGCCCTGTCCCGTGGGATGCTGGGCCGTGCTCCCGCTTTATCCCCTCCGACAGAGGGGAAGCGCAGCCGATCCCCTCCGTGGCTCCGCTCTCCCCCCTCGCCTTGGGGGCAGCGTGCCGGGGAGAGGGGGGGGCTGGCGCTGGGCTGGGGGTCACCCCCTCTCTCTGTCACAGCGTTCCCCGCCGCAGCGGCATCGCCACCTCCGCGTTCGTCTCCCAAAACCAGCTCTGAGCGCCGGCAGGGCCCTGCACGGTGCCGGCCTCTCCCGCAGTGCTTTCCTTGTTTTAGAGGAAGCGGAGGAGGCAGAGCGCGGCAGGGGCAGGCTCTGACCCCCCCCAAAAACCCCATCCGGCTGCCCGCGGGGACTGCGTGTCCCCCCCCGGGTGCTGGGGGCTCTCCCTTTCCCAACCCGGCTGCGCAACGGGCAGCCAGGCAGGAGCCCCCTCCCCAAACCCTGCACCTCTCTGGGGCTGCGGGACCCCACACGGGTCCCTCCGGCAGGGAGAGGGGGAGCCCAGGGAGGGTCGGGGTGAGCTGAGGAGACACAGGGTGGCTTCCAAGGCATGTGCCAGCCCTCAGGGCTGCCGGCCACACGGCATCGCCCTCTGAACTGTTGCTGGACAGGAGAAAACCAGCTCCGGAGGTCTTTTTAGGGTGAAATCCCGTGAACAAACAAACATAAAAAAAAAAAGCAACAAAAAAAACCCCCAACCAATCTTGTAAAGTACCGTGAGGTGCCAGCTTAGCAGGCGAGCGTCGGTGGGGGGAGCACTCGGTGGGAGAGTTCTGGTTTTGGGGTTTTTGGGGGGTTTTGTTTTTGGTTTTTTTTTTACTTAACGACACAAATTTTTAGTTTCTTTCCAAATAGTGGGGGAAAAGTGCAGAGCAAACCCCTATTAACCACCCAGCGAGGCGCTGCCCCCTCCTGCTCGCAGTGACTAGATTTGTTTGTCTTTCTGATAGGTTGGAAATTGTGTAATAAACTTGATGACGTTGTCAATCTTTTATACGGCACTGTCGGGCTCTTCTGTCACCTTTCCTCCCTACAATGGGCTTTTTGGTAACGAGCCGGGTGAGAGTGTTTTAGGGCCACTGCGGGAGGGAAGAGCAGCGCTCAGGGACTGTTAGTGCTTCTGTGGCTGCTGTCCCTGCCCCCCATCATCCTCCGACACTTCTGAGGGGCTCCTGTGCCCCCCAAGCCGGCTCAGGGGCAGCGCTGTGGGGCAGCAGTGCAGTGCTGGAAGCTCCTGAGCACTTCACGCCCAACCCGCTTCCCCAGCGGGGAAACCATCTGCCCAGGCACCAGGTAAAAATAAATATTTATTGGAAAATAGTGAATTATTCTGAAAAGGCAGTAGAAAAAAAAAAATAATTCTCCGTACCTCGAACTGATCAGCGTGTCGCAAGCCATGGGGACCGTGTCTGTGGTGGCAGCGGGTTGGGTGCTGCCCAGCAGGTCCGCTTGCGCGTGCTGCAGGCGAAGCAGAGGGCAGGCAGGGTGTGGAGATGTCCCCTGCCTGGCGTTGTCCCCTGCTTGGCGTTGTCCCCTGCCCAGCGTTGCCTGCGGGCACCGGTATGGGCCTGGCGTGGGAGGTGGAGCCGGCACCGGGGCTCCCCGACACCTCGTGTACCTGTGCCTGGTCCTTTGGCGGGGCACGGGGCCTCAGTACGAATCCACGCTGCGAAGAAGGAAAGAGGGGGACATGTCAGTGCTAAAAGCCGCCTGGCAGTTCACCGTGCCGGCTCCTGCGGCGCCCCGGCATTACCCAGCTCTCTGCAGGGCAGGGACGAACAGCGGTACCTGGAGAAGGAGACCAGCGCGAGGATGCCCAGCAGCAGCTCCACGGCGTAGAAGAGGAGGAGGATGGCGTTGAGGATGGCTTCCAGGCGCAGGGCGTAGGTCTGCAGCAGCAGGTAATAGGCCGCCATCACGGCTGCCAGGACGGTCAGGGCCAGGCTGATGGAGAGCGGCACCCTCCGCTGGCACAGGTTGCCCTTGGACCCTGGGGGGGCATGTGGTTAAGGGGGGGTGTCCCCTGCAGGGCCTGTGGGCTCCCCTGAAGGGGGGGACATGGTAAACAGCACAACCACAGTCCCAGCTCTGCCCCAGCGATTCCTGTGGGGGCTCTGGAGCTTGGTGTCACCCCCCGGGGATGCCACCACCCCCCACCACCGCTGTCCCCAGGATTTACCGAAGAAGATGCGAGTGGCCTCAGTGCCGAGGTAGAGGAAGAGCAGCACAAAGTCCAGCATCAGGTTGGTGAAGGGGTAGGGCAGCAGCAGCACTGCGGGCACAGCCACCCCCCCCGCCCTCAGGGCCTGCACCCACAGCCGGGCCCCGGGACAGGGGGCTGCTGCCCTGGGGGTGGGTGCACGGGGAGTGGGGGGGCCCGGAGTTGGAGGGGACTCACCCTTGTACACGAAGACAAAGGCCTCCAGGAGGAAGTAGGTAGCGCTGTACCAGCCGTTGAGGAACAACAGGACCTGCAGCGGCGCC